ATGAAAATTGGTGTACAAGTTTCTGTGTCTCAGTTCTCGTTTTCTCAGGGTATATTCCAAGAAGTGGAATCGCTGGGTCATACGGAGTGTCTATGTTCACCTTTCTGAGGAAATGCCAAACTGCCTTCCAGCCTGGTTGTGCTATTTTACAGTCCCAACAACAGTGGATAAGAGTGCCTATCTCGCCATATCCTCTCCAACATGTATTACTTGTTGTCCTGTTAAACTTCGCCACTGCTACTGGGGTGAGATGGTATCACATTGTGGTTTTGATTTGCATTTCTTATTGCCAGTGATTTTCAGCATTTCTCCATGTGTCTGTTGGCCATCTACCTCTTGAAAAGTTTTTCCATGTATTTTGCCCTTTTTGCAACTGTGTTATCAGACTTTTTCTTGTGGAGGCCTGTAAGATTCTGTTAACTTTTGATAATGAGACTCTTACCTGAAATGGTATTGCCAAGTGTTTTTTTCCCCAATCAGTAGGTTTGTTTTTTTGCTCTGTTGGAAAATGTTTTTGATGCACACAAGGATTTAATCTGTAGAAGGTCCCATTCATCAATTTTGTATTCTCCACCTTGTGCTTTTCTGGCTGTATTTGTCACTCTATTTGGCCATATAAACTTAATCTCAGTTTGTCTCTGATGAACTTTATGGTTTTGGCCTTTACTCCCAGATCTCTGATCCACCTTGAGTTGATTTGGCACAAGAGCCTTTATACTTTAATGAAAACTGAGTCAGTTCCAACCCTGGATACAGCAGAATAAACTCCCCAATCCTGCACTATTCTCTGTCACTGCTGTGCTTGTTGAATACATTGTTCTCACTACTTTGTTAGTCTGTCTTTTTGAGGTCCTTTTATTTTATTCCCCCCCCCCCCGCACCTCTCCACCCTTTCAAATGTAATGCCCTTCTCCAGGGAATGGGCTCTCATGATAACATGCTCAAAATAGATAATATAAAGACATCCACCCTTCTAAGAAACACTCTGCCTGCACTCTTCTAAGATGTTTGCTCTTTTAAGAGTCTGTAGCATATTCAGTATCCTGTCCTAACCACAAATCAATTCTTCTTTGATCTTTTATTTCTTTTCCAACTTTCACATGCATATGAGGTGATTGAAAACATCATGAGTTGGGTCACATGCACTGCAACCCTTGAAGTGACACTCTTGTTCTTTAACACTTTAAAAGAGTTCCTTTGTAACAGACTTGCCTAATGCAATAAAGCATTTGATTTCTTAACTCCTGCGTCCATGAGCATTGATTGTGGCTAGAATAAAATGAAATCCTTGACAACTTCAATCTTTTTTCCATTTATCATGATACTGTTGTGATGATAGGGAACCCTGCTGGTATGTTATTAGGTGCCATCGAGTTAGGTGTATGACCCATAGTGATCCTGTGAACAACAGATCTGAACCATGTCCTAGCCTATCTTATGCCATCCTCACACTTCTCGACACACTAGAGCCCATTGCAGCAGTCACTGTCAATCCTAGTTGAAGGTCTTCCTCTCATTGCAGCAGTCACTGTCAATCCTGGTTGAAGGTCTTCCTCTCCAGGAAGACCCTGTACCTTTCCAAAGATCATAGCCTCTTCTTTTCCAAATAATAGCCTCTCCTAACAACATGCCAAAGTCTGTGAGGTGAAGCCTCATCATTTTTAATTTCCAAAGAGGACTCTGACTGCACCCTCTCCAAGTCATAATTGTTCGTTCTTTTGGCAGTTCACGCGATGTTGAGTACTCTTTTCCAACACCACAGCTTAAAGGCATCCTGTTTTCTTCTATGATGTTTATTCATTGCCAAGCTCTCAGGTGCATAGCAAGTGATTGCAAAGACCATGGCCTGAATTATACACAGCTTAGTCCTCAAACTGACATTATTGCTTCTCAATAATTTGGAAAGATCCCTAACTGCAGACTTCCTAATGCTATATATCTGATTTTCTGATTGATGGTACCAAGGGTGTTTATTGTAGAACCAAGTAAGATGCAGTGGTTTACAATTTCAATCTATCATGTTGCCTGTAGGTCCAGTGATAAGAATCTTTGTTTTCCTGACATTGATATGCAATCCATATTGAAGGCTGTGTTCTTTGCAACAAATGCTTCAAGTCCTCACTTTTAGCAAGCAAGGTTGTGTCATCTGCACAGTGCAGGTTGTTAATGAGTCTTCCTCCAGTCTTGATGCCATGTTCTTCTTCATAGAGTCCAGCATCTCGAGTAATTTGCTCAACATAAAGCTTGAATAGGTATGGAGAGAAAAGACAACACTGACACACTCCCTTCTTAATTTCAGACCTTGTAGTGTTCGCTTGCTCTGTTCACACAACAGTCTCTTAGTCTAGTTTTAGGTTTCACATGAGCATAATTAAGTGCTGTGGGATTCCCATTCTTCTCAATGTTAGCTAAACCTTGTTATAATCTACAAAGTCAAATGCCATTTCATAGTCAATACGCATAAAAAGATGTTCTTCTGGTATTCTTTACTTTCACCAAGGATCCATCGGCCAGCAGCAATGATATCCCTGGTGTCATGGCCTCTTTTAAATCCTGCTTGAACTTCTGCAAGTTCCCTATTTATTTACTAGCCACTTTTTAATGATCTTTAGCAGTATTTTGCTTGCCTATTATATTAATGACGTTGTTTAGTAGTTCCCACATTCTACTGAATACCCTATTTTGGGATTGGGAACAAATATGGACTTCTTCCAGTCCGTTGACCTCCAAATTTCCTGGTATAAATTGATGAACACATCCAGGGCTGCATCTATTAATTGAAAAAAAAATTGTTTGGTATCCCATCAATTACTAGGACCTTATGTTTACTAGTGCCTTCAGTACAGTTCCTCCTTCATTACCATTGATTTCTGCACAAGGTATTTTCTGAAGGTTTTCAACGTCAAGTCAGTTTTTTTTGTTTTTTCTTTTTTTTGGTATAGTGACTCTGTGTATTCTTTTCACATCTTTTGATGCTTCCTGGGTCATTCAATTTATTTACCATTACATCTTTCAATAATGCAACTCAAGACTTAAATTTGGTTTTGAGTTCTTTCAGCTTGAAAAATGTAGAGTGAATTCTTCCCTTTTTAGTCTCCAATTCCAGCTTGCTGCGCATTCCATTATAATATTTACTTTGTCTTCTCTATCTGCCCTTTGAAACCTTCTGTTCAACTTCAGCATGTTTTCCCTTTGTTTTTGCTTCTTGATGCTCTAGTGCAATTTTCAAAATCTCTTCTGACATCCATTTTGGTTTTTTTTATTTCTCTTCTGTCTTTGTAATGACTTTTGGTCCTCTTCATGATTGATAAAATCCCACAATTTATCTGGTCTTCAGTCATTGGTGTTCAGTGCTTTAACCTTATTTTTACTACAGTTTTGAAATTGAGGTGGAATAGACTCAAGATCATATTTTGGTTCACAAGGATTTTTTTTTTTTATTCAGCCTCAGTTTGAACTTCCACATGTGTAACTGATGGTCTGACCTATAGCCCGCCCCTAGCCTAGTTTTGACTAGGTTGCTTCAATGATTTTTCCACAAATGTAATCATTCTGGTTCCTAGGAAGCCTGTCAGGTGAGGTCCGTGTCATTCTATTTCCAGCCTCATTCTGTCACCAGATCCATACTTTCCCACTACTATTCCTTCTTCGTTGTTTCCAACTTGTGCATACCAGTCACTAATTATCATTAGTGCATCTTGGTTGCATGTTTGGTCAATTTCAGACTGAAAGGTTTGGTAAAATTTTTGAATTGTTTTTCTTCTTGGCTCTAGATGTAGTAGTGTATGTTTGAATAATAATCATATTAAGAAAACTTTCTTGTCTGCCTATGGATAATATCCTCTCACATCATTGTACTTTAGGTTAGAAATTGCCTTTTTTTTTTTACTATGAACAACACACCGTTCTTCTTCTGTTTTTCGTTTTCAGTGTAGTATACCATGTGATTATCTGATAGAGTGACCAATGTTAGTCCATCTCATGTAGTGACATCTCATGTAATGCTTAGAATGTTGATGTTCATGTGTTCCATTTCATTTTTCATAATTTCTAGTTTCCTAACATTCAAGCTATGTACAGTCCATGTTCTGATTATTAAATGGTGTTTACAACTATTTTTGCTCATTTCAACTGCATTCCAGTCTGGACTCTAGCTTTAATATTATAAAAATCCATGTTCTTCTTGTTCTTCTACTGTTCGTAGGGTTAATTTAAGAAGTGGATGCCAACCATGTTTTTGAGTCTGTCTTAATCTGAGAACTCTACTAAAATCTATCCACCACGAGTAACCCTTGTGGCATTCGACATACTAGAGACATAGCTTTCAGTATCATAGCATCCTTCAAGTTTTCTCAGTACAGCAAACTGACAGAGAAGTGTTCTACCATTTAGAACAATGTAGACTCCAAATACAGCAAACATAATTTCATTTGTACCTCTTCGAAGAAATCGGGCTTCACACCAACTTTTAATCACAAAGGCCTACCCATTAGGTCCTTATTAATTTAAACCAGAGGCTCGCAGCCCCCAGCTGACTGTTACCAGGTCCTAATTGGTTTAAACAAGAGGCTCCCAGCCTGTAACTGACTGTTAATCAAATTTTAAAAGCCTACCTTCCATGTGCCAACTTCTTTAAATAAGCGGCTCCAAGGCCCCAACCAAGTCTGGCAATAGAGTCAATAGCAATTAACACTACTTACCTAGAGGCTGCATGTTTTCAGTGGTTTGAATCTACCAGTGGCTCTACAGGAAATGGATGGGTGGTCTCCTGTTTCAGTTTATAGCCATGGTAAACAGAAGGAGAGTCTTTGAGTCATAACTAACTTAAAAGCAGTGAGTTGTTTATGATAATGATGATGATGACATTACATATGTTAATATATATATATGATATTATAATGTAAACATTATGAGAAGAAATATTCAAGGGTGGCAGAGTCCTTATATCTCTGATGAATTTTCTTTGTAATAAGATTTTTTTCTTTTAAATATTTGAACAGTGTGTGGGTTTCAACAGACCATGAAGAAATTGAGAATGTGGCTAAACAATTTGGTGCACAAGTTCATCGAAGAAGTTCTGAAGTTTCAAAAGATAGCTCTACCTCACTAGATGCCATCGTAGAATTTCTTAATTACCATAATGGTATGAATTTGATAGTTTATTAAAATTTTCATATGATTCCCAACCATTTTATAGCTCATTAGGCTTCTTTTAACATTTGGATTTAAGATTTTGTTATTATTTGCTTGATAAAATGTGTCCAAAGTAAACACTGTTAACAGAAGATTGGGCAACATATCATTACTAAGTAAATCGCTGACGACTTTATCAGAATGCATAATCCCACGAGAGGGCGGCAGTATATGTTCAAGTATTATCAAAGCTCAAATAGCAGCTTTATTAAGACTATCAGGATGAGGGAGTTTTTCTTTTGCTTTTCAAGGAGAGGAGCAAATGGGGGGAGGGGGGAGGGGTTTGTGCGGGGAGAAGGGTGCAACAATGAATGAAT